CACAAGATTCTGTTAAAGGAACCTGACCATGAAGATAGAGCTAGGGCTTCTGGGTGGGCTTCTTGTCTGGACTACTAACAGCACTCCGATAGTGAAATACAAAGGGTGGGGTGCGGTCAAGAGGAATCTGTAAACCTGTGTTCCTCAACCTTGGCCACTTGAAGATCTTCAAATGGCCAAGGTTGAGAAACACTGCTGTAGACTGAACACCTACTAACAAGACCCCCTTTCTCATCTCCACTTGATGCAGAGAAGGCCAAGTTGAAAGGCGAGGAAGAAGAAGGCCTTTTCAGGAAGACAGTGATGGAAAAATACGGCAACCTTGAGCTGAGTGACCGGTGAGTGAGAGCCAGACTTTCTGGTAGGAAGCAGCCTGTGCTAATTCTTGGGTACCTCGTGCCTCATAATGACCTTGTCAAGAGCCCTGTGGGCTACGGGACTCCCATAACTTACCAGAGAATGGCCAGAAACGTAGGCAGCACCAGACTTCAGTGGGCCATCATTCCTACCCAATGGGAGATGCTAGTAATTGTAGGATCCTTAGCTTAGAGTTCGGCGTGGTGTTCAAATCCAGCCGCATGACTCTCTATTGATCAGCCTGTTGTGCTAAGAGCTGTTGAGACATACTGGGTGATTTCATGGATATGAGAAGAACAGGGGAAATCTGAGATATTTTTTTTACTGCTTTCTAGGCATCATTGATGGAAACCCAAGCTTGCTTTTCTTTCCTGAAATTAGATTTTCCAGGGATCCCTAAGCAGGAGCAGCTGGAAAGAACAGGAAAAAAAAATATTTTTTTGACTCTTTCAGAGAATGGCAGCTTCTCTATGGTTACTTCCAGCTAATGACGGCTATTGAGACCAACCAACAGCAGTTCCAGTCCCAGGCTTTCACCACCAACAAGATCTTGGACACTTTTTTTGAGGTATCAATTAAAACCTCAGCTGAATTCTCCCCATCCCTCCAGGACCATCCATTCCTTCGACCGAATTCATCTCTTCTTGAACATCCAGATGCAGTGTAGGAGTTACAGCAGTTATATTCCCTACCGACCACTCAGTGGCACTGTATGACCTGTTTTGTTCTTGTTGGAATTTGTCCAACATAGTCTTCATCGGTTGGGTCTCATATATTGTACATTCAGCCCTTTATGGGGATTTGAATTCAGGAGGCTTTGAATGCCCCCTTGTGCCTCTTGGTGGTTCCTAATGGTCAGTGCGGAATATAACCACTGTAAGCTATATAAACTCCATCGGTGGGAGGTCTTGAGGCTTCTATGATGAGGTCCAGATAAACTAATATCTTCGCTCTCTAGTGCAAGGGTGCAAATGAGTAAGGAGGAAGACGTATCACTCATAGAATCATGGGAATTGTAGTTAGGCCTGATTTAGAGCCCAAGCTTGGACAAAGCTGGACTTTACTGGGCTTTACTCAAAAAGAAAGGAGTCAGTCACAGAATCATACTGTAGACTCACAGAACTGGGAAGTTGGAGGAGACCTCAAGGATTGTCCTGTCCAACCTTTCTACAGGGTGCAGGAAAATCAATTAAACCATCCTGAAGGGGTGACTGTGGACCACCACCTCTCATGGATGGCTTAAGTGGTTTTAAGAAATGTTGGCTGTAGTTGTTTTAAAGTTCGATAAAATTATTTTTTAAAAAAGCCCTGATTCCAGAGGATCAGACTTCAAATTGCACTACTGTCAGGAAATTGTTGATGGTAAGAGCTGTCCTAGAATAGAATATGAAGTGGTATCACAGAAGCTAGGTATCCATTTATTCAAAATTCTTTCATGGATTCTACACTAGCAGGAGGTTGGTTTAGACGGCCTCTGAGATCTCTTCCACCGTTATGACTCTATTTTTCCTCTGCTCTGGATCTTCGTGAATAATTAGACCATGCTGTCTTAGCTAGCCTATCTGGCAGGGTTGCTGTGCAGATAAAATAAAGAAAACAGTCAATGCCTCATAGGCTGTATTTCTAGGTCTCGCTAAACCACACAACATAGCATGTCACACAAACCTAACTTGTATGGTTCCTTGATGGTTTGGTATGTTGTGGAAACGCAGAACAATGGTTAATCCTATAAACCATTGTTAGGCCAAACATGATTAAGGATGTCATACAAATGCAGGTTTTGAGCTTTCTTAGAAAATGAGGATACTGATGGACCAATTTCCCTAACTTTTTCTTACAGACATCTGAAGAGGATTTCTTTCCCAAATGAAACACAGAGAGAGATCCACAGTTCACTGGTGGGATTTTTTTTATGCTACCAGCAACTGTTGCTGTTAAAAAGTTGACATAGCTGCTTATTTTGATGACCTTATGTTAAATGCAACATTGTGTTAATTGAATCAAGTTGCGACTCTTAGCATATGGCAGTTTAAACCTAGCTGTCCTTGCTGGGTTTGGATATTTACCAGCTCCAAAATTTGTTTCGGAGGCTAGAGCTGTTCTGTGTCGGAATTTCAGGCCACGGCTTTAGTATTTTCTGCACTGCTTTCGGTGAGCAATTTTTTAGCTTTCAGACAGAGAAATACCCTTCCCATCAATTGTTAGAAGAAGATTTTGAACTTAAGCAAGCTTGGACTGAATCTAAACATTTTTGCATACAAACTGTAGATGTGCAACTCTCACTGATCTATGGAACCTCTCTTAATGTGAAAATAATAAAAAGAGTTCATTACAGAGCCTCTTTCCTTTCCATCTGGTCTTTACTGTTAAGCTGACAGAACCTAGAGCAAGATGTGAATGGGCCCATGCCCAAAACCAAACTGGATTTAATTGTTTAAATATCATTGTAATTAAATTCCATGACTTCATTATTTATATAGTCTTTTTATATAGTATTTCTTAGCTAATTTAATATGGATATTTATATTTTTACTGTTTGTTTTTAATTGTGAGCTGTCCAGAGTCACCCTTTGGGGGAGATGGGCGGCATATAAACAAACAAACAAACAAACAAACGTGAATAGACTGACTTCCCATGTTTATAATCATTTCCCCTTCTGATCATATCAAAGGCAACTACTTGGCTGTAACTTTGGAAAGTGCTTTTCAGAGACAGACCAAAACTGGGTTGGATTAAAGAAGTAAACCATTCTTCTATCCTCTATCTCACTGTTTCGCAACCTTGGGAACTTCAAGAAGTGCAGACTTCAACTCCCAGAATTCCCTG